AAACCACCTGAAAAGCCTAGACGGCTCAAAGCTTCCATGTAGAAGAACCGGAAAAGGACTTCGACGTCATCTGTCGTTCAGGACATCACTCCCGTGCATATATAGCGAAATCTATAGACCTTTGCCGTTGTACCCACCTTTCACAAACCCACGCCCCAGACTTTGAACTGCTGTTGCTGTAGTGCTTCACCCTCTTTTCAAAATATGGTCCCAACAGAATAATTTACGCTGAACAATGGCTCCCCCACAACCTTGATGGCTGATGCTGTCCTCCAAGTGTTTGATATGTGGCCTCAACAAGTTTTGCTTTTCTTTCCATTTCTTTAGTTCCCCATCTCTTTATTTTCTCCCTTCTTTTCATGAGTGTTTGCTTTAGTTAAGCTGTAGGAGATGGAGGTTTGTGAAAACTTGATCGACAGTATCCACAGATCCTTCACTGGTGGCGGCATACATTTCGCATCTCCAGCTTTGTCTTTGAGGACAAATGAATTCGACCTGGTAGTCTATTTTAAGTGTCTTTTTTTTACACTCTCCCCCTTTGTTGTTATTCATTGTACCTCTCTCTTTCTAGTTGGGCGGTGGTTTTTCATTTGTTCCATTTTTTGTTCAGGTTCGAGGAGTGTTGCAAATGCTTCAAGGTCTTGCGAGTTCACTACTCCCTTGGAATGAGACGAGGCAGTGTTTTCACTACAAAAAGGGGATTTTCTTGAATCATCTTTCACAGACGAGTTTGTATCGTATCCTTGATCAGTTTTCATATGCTGCAACGTGTTTACAACTAGTTGATATTATGGTGAACAAAATTGAGAAATCTAAGAGCTCGACTCCGCCGACTCTAAGAGCATTTTCTTGTTCTGTTAGCACGTGGCTTAGAGTACGTTCTTGCCATTAGACTGAAGTTTCTGTTTGATCTGACCTCAGTTATCTATTTCTTACATGTTTTGATTATATTTCAATGGGTTTCTTTTTTTGTTTTTTTGTTCTTTTCCTCATTGTGACAGAGTCTGCGAGATGTGGCTCTGAAAGAAGAGGTGAAAATCAATAATCCAAATGTTACTACTGCTGTGTCAATCTTGGGATTATCCAGTTCTTTATCAAGGTGAGTGCTATGTCGAGAATCTGAACCTACTCTCTTATTTTTATTTTTGTGAAGGGCGTTATTGAAATGATGCATCATGCTGCGTTTCTTGTTATTTGCAAATTAGGATCAATAATTGTGTGTATTACAAATTGCTGTCTTCACTTGGACCTGTTCTATTATGAGCAAACATGGATATGTTAAAATCCAACTGCATCACAATATCCATTGCTTCTGCTTTCCTTTTTTCCCATACAGAGATGCCCACGTATTGTTTAGAATCATCTCAGCAGTTATAAGGAAGTGCTTTATTTTGTTGTTCCTAATTAACTTTTGTTATAGTTGTTTGAAAATATTTTGGAAGAGATACCATTAGAAGTTTCCTCATGAAAGTTCTTGATTGTTTCTTTTTCTGTAGCCTTTGCGCAGGTGCTGAATATTTGTTTCAAATAGTGCATGGAGCCATTCCTCGGTTCTATTTTGATCTTGATGCCTATGTCCCAGCTGCTGATATAGCTGTTCACATCCTGAATCATCTTTACATGAAGCTCAATGAAGTTTGTCTTGTGGATGGGGGAGAGGTTTTCAAATTTCTTTGTAAAATGATACATGGTTCTTTAATGCTTGCCCTAGTTTTTGTTATTTAAACTGTATAGCACACTGGTTGCAGGAGGATGCATTCCGAATGTTATTTTATATACTTGTAGGAAGTTTGCTACCGTATATTGAGAGCCTTGATTCTTGGCTCTTCCAGGGAACTCTTGATGATCCCTTTGAGGAGGTATTTCCTTTACTCTTGTATGGAACATTTGGTATCTGACAATGGATTATAAATGTTGACTTCTGTCCGCTAATTAGGGCACACATATTTTGTCATGACATCTATGACTCATGGTGCAAGAATATAGTAAATTGTAGTCCAGGAAATTTTTAATCCTCCAAGATCTATAACTTGCATCAGCATATAATGCTTTCATTTTGATGATGACTGTTTGAGATGTTTGCATCTAATTATCTACATTTTAGCAATCAATGTTGGCCTAGATAGTGCTTGTGTTTCTTTATTGCCTGTTAACTTTTTCGTGAGATCAATGTCCGTGCGATAGTGCTTGGGTTTCTCTATGGCCTGTTTACTTTTCCGTGAGATCAATGTTCTTGGGATAGTGCTTGGGTTTCTCTATGGCCTGTTAATTTTTCACATAAAATTTTGCTACCTGCACCTTGGGGATATGCTTAACACATTGAACATCTCAGGTATTAGAAGATCATAAAATGCTCTAACTGCATGCAGTTTGTCTTTCATTTTTATTAATTTATACATCTGCTGATTGTGTCCCACACACTGCTGAAACCCCTGACTATACACACAAATAGGAGATGGTTGGCTGCAATCTGTGGCAAGGTGCTTATGATGTGGTTAGGCTGGTATTTTTTATGTCTGCAAAGTCCTGGGATTGGATTTAATTAGTACAAGAAAAGAGAATATCATAGGAGATGAATAGATTACTACCTGGTGTCAGTATTTGTTATTATAGGTTGCTCTAGAAAATGGACTCAAGTTCCACTGCAAATGTAGCTTTTCGTTACCCTCCTTAATGTATCTTTGTTGTTATGATGATATTTAGGTCTTTCCTGCAGATATTTTTCATTGCAAACAAAAATATTGCAATAGAGGAGGCGGAATTTTGGGAGAAAAGCTGTCAGTTGAGATCGGCTATGCCTGACAAACCAAGTCTTGTCAATTTGACCGCAGAATATCGACCTTTAGCTAAAGACAAAAACGATATGACTGGCAGAGCATCCATATGTTTTCCGAATATGGAAATGGAGAAACAAGATAATAATAAAGACTTTCAAGTTTGTCCATTCTTCTTTAAAGACATTGCTAAGGCAATTATTTCTGCTGGAAAATCACTGCAGCTTATCCGGCATGCTCCTGCAAGATCTGTTTTGGCAATTTCTGGTGATGATGTTGAGAATGGGTGTAGCGTAGATGAGCTAACCTTATTGGAGGTATTTTGTGTCTCACTAACAGCTCTGATTGACGACGGTGATCATATTGCTGAGGGTTTATGGAAAGATGGGAAACATTTGACCAAACCCATTGAGGAGACTCTGGTTGTAGAAAAGAAAAAGGTCTGGCAGAAGTTATTGGCGGACACACTAAAACAGAAAAGTTATATGGGTTTAACATCAAGAAAAGGTTCACATAATATGAAAGGGCCGGAAATGATCTCAGATGAACTTGACATGCTTCCTAGAAAGTATTGTCCTGAAAATCCAGCTATTACTGTTTGTCGTGGGATTCTTTGGGAGAACAGAGATTCTTGGAGCCCACTGAATGTTTCTCAAGCTTTTGATCTCCCTCCTTTGAATGATGAGTGCCTAAGAAAGGCAATTTTCCATAATAGTTGTATGGATTCTACTTTAGATTCTCAGTTTGGCGAGGTGGAAAGTGCGAGATTCTTAGAAGATGCAAAAATGCTTGAGGTTTTGCTTCCATTTCCTACCCTTCTTCCATCTTTCCAGGTATTCCGTGTGTATGTGACTGAAGAATACTTGCAACCTATCCTTTTCTTTCTGCTTCGAATTAAAATTTGTTTTGAACTATGTAACAGGATGACCTTCAGATATCAGAAGTTTTACCCTTTCAGAATAACTGCACGCTTCCCTCAAGAACACTCAGCTGGATTCAAAATGTTGAGCCTAAGGGTACTCCATTGCCTTCAGCTATTCTTCAAGAGTGCCTTATCACCTACATTACGAAGCAGGTCTGATTATGTGTAGTAACTTGTCATACTTCTTTCTTTGTCAATTGTACAATGCTATAGTGTATATTCGATGTGCAGGCCGATTATATTGGCAGGACTATGCTGTCCAAATTACTTGGTGACTGGAGATTGCTAGATGAGTTGGGTGTGTTGCGTGCTATATATTTATTAGGATCGGGTAGGTATATCTGGTGTTTCCATTGAACATCTTCTCTGGTGTGGCACTCTTCGTATTTAATGATGGTCTCTGATTGAGTTGAAATCTTGGAATATCCAGGTGATCTACTGCAGCACTTTTTGTCGGTGATCTTCAATAAGCTAGACAAAGGAGAATCCTTAGATGATGATTTTGAGTTGAACACGATATTGCAGGTCCAGTTGCTAGACTCATTCTGTCAATTTATGCTAGCATCTTTGTTAACTTTTAATGTGGATCTTGTTCACTACCAAATGGATTGATCTTTCATAGCCTACCGTCATCAAAGACTAATACAGTGGTTTCATATATGTTTACCCCACTCTGGAAATTTAGCAATATCAAGAGATTGATCATCATTGAATTATTTCTTGTTTCCTGTGAGGGAATTTGTCTCTGCCTGAGCATGTGTTGAGAATCTTCTTTTATGTTGCTTTGATTGAGTGATTAGTTTTCTTATTGTTGGTGCATTTTGTACTAAAGCTTACAGAATAATTTATGACATTGATTGTTTTGGAAACTACTTCATAAGAAATTATATGTATGCACCATAGATTTCATGATTAATTAATTGTCTATTCTACTTCAATTCTCTTACAACCAATAATGGGATTGTTAGGATGGCTTATACAAACCGTTTGAGGTTAATTAAGATGCTGTAATTCACTTTATGTTGCTCTTGTATGACCGGATAATTGTAATTAATTGTGGTAATAATGTAAATATTGCCATTCTCTGAACTTAGAGACATTCTATTCATACTTTTCTGCTTTCAAGGTACTTACTTAAATGGCATGTATTGTGGTTCATTCTTTGCTTGCTTATACAGAATATCCCCATGTATTTTACGAATTAAACCTTTAATTTTATAAACCATATATACTCACTGAAAATCATTTATCAGTAGTGTGATTTTTGTAGATTGCTACTACCAAATTGTCGAGTACTCACTGGAAATCATTTATCAGTTGTGTAATGATTAAAATGATTTTTGCAGATTGCTATCATCAAATTGTCGAGTTCTGTTTGTTTTCTATTACTTCCAGTTCTTTAAAGTTAATTAATTATTAATGAAACATCAAATAGTATTTCATAATATTATGATCCTTTTTTTTTTTTTTTTTTTTTTTTTTAACAAACATCAAATTAGATAAAAGAAACTCGAATGTACAACAGGGACAGCCAAGGGGCCGCAACATATCACGGTTCAAAGCGACATGCTAGGGAAAGCTCAACTCTGAGCTAACCTAAAGGACCAACTATGGCCTCAGAAAAGAAAAAAAAACCAAGAACAACAACACACATACAACAAACAATAATAAAAGGGAAAAACAGCTCCCTAAACACAGAATATAAGAGAACAAGAGGAAAACCGAGACAATAAAATTCTAATGTCTTCTACTAGAATTGCAGATTCCAAAAGGCAGAGAGCTTCACCCGCTAATATTTGATGCAGGCCTTTGTCTTTAATTTCCAGCATAATCCTTTGCCATCCTAAAATGAGCCCCTCCTCCAGCCTTGTCCGCAGCTCAGAAAAGAAAGTAGCTTTAGATTTTTGCTGAAAGGCAGTAAAGGGCATACTCCAACAGGCCACCTCAGTATTTGCCAGAAAAGCTGTCCCCTTCAAAACACAAATCTCCGAGTGAGAGGCATTAACACTGGCAGCTTGAGGAAGCTCCCCTATTCCTTGCACCTCATCAGA